TCCAACTCCTGAGATTCTGTGATGCTGTGATTGCAGCTCTGCTACTTCAGAGTCATGACAATCCTAAAACTCTCTCACAAGTCATCCACAAATACCCATGTTGTTCTAGTTTGGGTTATAATAAGTGAATTAACTGGGTTTTTATTTTGCCAGTGGAAAGTGAATTAAGAGATTCTACCACTTTGCAAACTGCACTGACAGTTTGGGATGAACACAGTTAAAATGGACAAGCTTGCCTGGTTTATTTTTGGGTTTGTGTTTTACTTTCTCAATACAGAGGCTCATGAATTTGTTGTTCCTTAAAGTCTTGAACCAAAAGTCTTAAGCAGATTTACAACTGAGCATAATGCATACAAACCAGCCACTTTCTTCTCTAGTATCACAGAATCGCTCGGTTAGAAAAGACCTCTGAGATCATCACGTCACGTAGTACTACAGAGGAACACAGAGGGAGAAAGCATTAGCAAGCAACACAGTCTCAAGATTTTCTTACATCCTTTTGCCCGATGACTAGAACAGGGGCAATAGTAAAAAGATTACTATTTAATACAATGGATACCATCCTTCTTTAACACCCTTAGCTCTCAGCTGTGTACCTTTGACTATTTATAGGTTGTAATGAGGCCCAGGTAAAGAGTTGGGCTTTGAATTCATCCTAATCCAGGAATCTTTAGTAAATGTTATCACCAGGCTGAGCAGACAGTCTCTGTGTGAGACACATGAGATTTAGAGAACGTAGTTTGGTATGAGCAAAGCTGTACCATTTCAAAACTAGCTGAAGGTGTGGTTCAGCTTATAGTGACTCTAGGGATGTTGACATTTTTGGTCATTGTTTTCGTTATGAATTAGCATCATTTTCATCCCTGTGTTCTTTATAGCCTGGAATCTAATTTCACTGTAATTTCTCTTTTACAGATATAACGCTTCCCTCCTTGAAGAAGGCAGGATTATGCGCAGACTGCAGCACGACCGTGTGGTAAAACTACTAGGTATAATTCTGGAAGACGGAAACTACTCACTTGTGATGGAATATGTGGACCGGGGAAACATGATGAAAGTGCTACAGAAAGTGAGCAGTGAATTGCTTCATCCCTTGCCACTGCTTAGGTTCAATAAGAGGCTTGAAAGGGACAGAATGTTACTGCTGTCTCCAAAGAATGGAGTCTTTAGTTTCTCATTCTCCTTTCTGTATTAAAGAGCCACTGGTGGCCCTGCCTTCTCTAGAGACAGCAGAGGACAGCCATGGCTTTCCTGCATATCACCGTGGAGCAAACAGCTATAGGTTTAGGAGTGTTTATAGGAGTGTTTGTAGAGATCTGTGGAGAATTTGCTGAAGAAGAATGCATTTGTAAATATGGAGTGACTCTAGAATTACTTTAATGTGAAAATTTAGATCCAAGAAGGATCTTAGTTCTTTTTCATGCTAGCTTGAGCAGAGAAACTCTTGGGACTGAGAAAGAAACATTTTAAATACTGGTTTTTAATTTGACATTTGTAGTAGCATTTTTTAATAGGTGGTATTTCTTGTTTGTTTTAGCACTCGCTGCCTTTGTCAGTGAAAGGGCGTTTCGTGCTGGAGATCGCAGAAGGGATGGTTTATCTGCATGAGCAAGGCTTTGTACACAAAGACCTAAAACCAGAAAACATCCTTGTGGATGCTGACTTCCACATTAAGGTACTTGTTAGAATGTGAATGGAGGAAGCTGCTGATTTGCGTTGAAGAACTCAGTTTAGCCACATGGCTTAGTATTCCTGATTGGGAAATGAACTCCTTTGTAGTCTAGCAAGCTATGGATCACTGAAGTATGGTGGACTATAAAACATCCGAGCCTGAGATTTGTATAATCTTCCCTCCATATGTGAAAAGAAAGGAGACATTACTAAGGGTATTAAAAAAATGAATAATATTGTTGAGAATTAATGAACTACAAATAACAAAGCAGCTCGAAAGGGGAAAAAAAGAGCCTTAACATGCAGAGATTGAAAGACAATAAAATATCTTGTGGATCATGTATTTTGTCCTTTATTGCTGTAATTTCTCTTCCTGCCTTTGCCTCCTCCTTTTTATTGCTTTCCTTCTTTTGCTTATTATCGTTTCCTCTTTTGTCTCTCTCTTTTTTTGCCTTAGTCATCATTTTTAAATGACAGCCAGCAGCTACAAAAAAAGCAGCAGGAAACTACTTCAAAGAATGGTTCACAAGCCTGTTCCAAAGCCCTTCGAATAACTTTAGTGGGCTTTTGGATCAAGACATGTAGATACAGAGCCTACTGCTGAATAAACCTGAGTAGAATTTGCAGCAGTCCTCATAAAATGTCCTGTCTCTGATCAAGGTGAGTTGTTGAAATAATCACCCCATTACAGCATGAAACTACAGAATAAATTCCTGTGAAGAGAGCTCTGTCATTTGATATTTTGCACACGTGTATTAGTGAAAGTGGTTTGACAAGGTTAATATAATAGCAAGACCTAGTGCAGTATGAGCAGCATACAGATAAGGGATATGAACTACATTTTTTTTCTGTGTCAAAAATAATAATAAAAAAGAAATAATTTTCTCCTTTAAATGTAAATTGGATGCTTTTTTAGGTTTCAGTTTGCTTGTATGGACAGGACCAAATTAGGCTATCATCACACTACATGACAAACTGGAGCCCAGGATCAAGTTCAGAATAATATCAGACTTCCTTAAGCAACTTGTTCAAAAGTATCATTTAAGGCATCTGTTGCATGATCTGTCTGCTTGAATGTGTCTAATATTGCCAATATTTATAAAGGGAAATAATTGTTCTAAGAAACTACAAATGCAGGAAGATTTATATCATAACTTCCTCTATTACATTAGACCTTTCACTTGTAGACATGAACTTGGACTCCTACTTTCTCAGCAGGATGTCACTTGCAGTTCCTCTTCCTTGGAATACAGCACCTCTAAATTTAGCTCAAAGCTTCAGAAACTCAGGAGCAACAATAAGCTAGTTAGAGGCAATCACTGAGAGAAAAGCAAAGCAAGTTAGAAGTGAGGCAAGGTGTCACCTCAGTTTTATCTGAAATGATGGGGTTTACACAACTCAGTTTGACAGCTGCCTGTGGCCAAGAGAGGCAGTCCCATTTCCTTCCATTTTTCCTCTCCTGTTGACCTCCTGTTCCCTTGTGTTAGCACTGATGCTAATCTGACTACCCTGCCCCGATTTGAGAAGTCAAACCAGCACATTACCTTGTTGGCAGTGCTACCCTTCTGGTGCGGAGCACTCAGTTCCACAAGCCATTGGAGTGCCCTGCACTATGTCCTCTGAATGTCAGCTAAGTGTCAGTGCTGGAACAGGAGGAGCAGAGGGAGCACATAACAGAAGGCTGTGGGGAAAGGAGGGAAGGGTTACTTTCTTCACCATCAGCCATTAGTCTAGTTGTAAAAGTGCACCCCAAGGTTTCAGTAACGTCACCTTGTCAAGTACCCGCTACCCAGGTATCCCTGCTTTAACTTATTCCATGCTATCCTTTTCCATGTCTCTCTGCCATACACATCACATCATTTTAGATCCTCCTCCTTTTTGTAGGGAAGATCTAAGGGAGTTGAGTTAAATGGAATCGAAATAAAAAGAACAGTGAGGGAGGGATACCTTCCCAATCTCACAGATTATGTCTGGATTTGAATCTTAGCTTCTTCTCATATGAATCTTCTGCCATGAGCACTGCAAGCTGATCTTGAATGTGATTGTCAATATGAGCAAAAAAAAAACCCCTTCTTTTTTTCTTACATTGTGCAATTGTTCCCAGTGGGGTTAAGTTAATAATGAAGGTTCAGCCTAATGGTTCCCAGTTGGCAGTGATACCTTATTTAGGAAAAAAAAAATCCATAAAATGACATGTAGTTTATTTTCCTTTCTTGTAGTTCCATTTTGTTGCAGTGTTTCATTGTTAGATAAGTTATTATCAGCTATTCATTATAAAATTGAGCACTGCATTGCATGAAATACTTATCTCCTCTTCATCACAGCACTAGGTCTGATGTGTCTCATTTTTCAGATTGCAGATCTTGGTGTTGCCTCCTTTAAGAACTGGAGTCGGCTGACCCAAGAAGAGACTGTCCGACAGAAGCAGATCAAGAGCAGTTGCCAGAACAATGCTGGGACTCTTTTCTATATGGCCCCAGAGCATTTACGCTGTCTTAATGTAAAACCTACAGAGAAGTCAGATGTTTACAGCTTCGGCATAGTGATCTGGGCAATTTTTGCTAACAAAGAGCCATATGAAAGTAAGTTACTTCCAAAAGGACTCTATCACAAAATTAAATTACAAATGTTAAGCATTTGAACTTATAGAATTAAGGTTAGTAGATTAAATTGCCTGTACCCAAGGAATAGCGCCTGTTAGGCACCTTATGGCCAGTAAGAGGCATTAGCTGTATCATTCCTGACTTCTAAGCATGGACAAGAACACCTGAATTGAAACACAGGCATGAGCCCAATCTATTCACATCTGTATAGTGTGGGCATAAACCTGCACTCAGTGGCAAAAGTTAGACAAGCCTTGGGCAGGCCAGGATGGAAATTTTGGTGTACACGATTTCCTAAGGTAGGCTAGTTACATGTGTTTTTTTCTTTTAACAGGAATGGTCACACAGCCATTTCCCGCTTCTCAGCTCTGCGGTGCTAATTTCTAAACATGCAGTACTGTGCTCATGTAGAGCAATAGGAGCAGACTGTGGAATTCTGGAGTAACACGATTATAATTTTGAATGGTTTTTTTGTTAACTAATGGCGAAACGTTCCCTTTGTGGCCATCTTTGTGTTCATACCCAGCCCAGAGCATAACTGAGATTCAGGTTCTAGAGAGCTAGATCTGTCACCATTACTCACACTAGGCATGCCTTACATATAAATGTAAATCCATTCATCTTAAAATAAATCTCTAACCTGTGGCAGTTAGGGCAGTGGATTCAGATTCACTAATGTGAGAAATTTGTAGCTGTAAATCAGACATCTTTCTTTGAAATTGTTTACATATCCACAAACACATAAGGAGATGCTTCACTCTTTCTTTTACCTACAGAAAGGTAGCAAACCCCATGATCAGAACCTGATGGAAATTTTATTTTTCAGATAGTATAAATGAAGCCCAGATTTGCTTTGGCATCATGAATGGAAACAGACCAGACATAGAGGAGATTATTGATAAATGTCCGGTGGAAATTATTGACTTAATGAAACAATGCTGGGAGCAAGAGCCTGAGAAACGCCCAACCTTTGCAGGTAAGGGATTGCTTTGGGATTCTTTTTGTTATGTGTCCATCAACAGTTTGTAATGCAACACAACAAACTTGAGTGTCTTCCTCTTAAAAATATATATTTTTTTCTTTTACAATAGAAATATCAATTCACATGCCCAGTAAAGCCTGCACCCCACACCCTGACTAAAAATGAGATCTGGTCCAGCATTTACAGATTTGAGAAATACTAATGAGTGGATGGAGCTAAGACACTTTATACTATGCTGAAGACAAATTATCAGCAGGTATAAACTTC